AACATTATACAAGATATTTTAACATTTTGAGAACTTTTAACTCTCAGTATTAACAAACATTTGAGTAGGATAGCAGTCATCTTTAAGTAACAGCTAAAGAAGAAGTACTCTTTATTTTGGTTCAGTTTCCTGGACATTGGGGATAGATATATTTTCCTCAACAGAAGCCCTTTTTCATTTTGTTTCAGGATCTATAATAAAAATGTGTTTTGTGAAACCATATGACATTATTATTTTAATATTTAATATTTTAATTTTTTATTAGTTAATCATTTATTTATCAAGAGAAACTATTTCTTAGCCCACATATTCATGTGTCATAGTTCAGGAACCTGAGTCAGTGACAAACTTCTAGGTAATTCAACCCGAAGAAATTCTTTATATTCCAAGATCACTTTATACTACTAAAGATACCAGCCTTCTTCATCTCCTCAAAATCCATGGATTTTATACTATGCTTATAGTGTTTTTACTTTTACCAAAGTTGGTAAAGTTGAAAACATTTATTCTCAAAGCCTTGCACACACATACTAATAAAATATCTTTCACCATAGTATTTAGGCCCTGATGGTATATGTGTGGTTTTGTAATGATCTCAATCACATTTTCTCCAATTGTGATTTTTCAGAGCGTTGTATCTTTTCCTAACCATTTAATCCCAACCACCCAGTTTCAACCATAGTTTCTCCAATTGTGACTTTTTTCAGACCCTTGTAGCCTTTCGTAAACACTCCATTCTCTCCTGTAGGAGAGGAGAGCTCACACACCACAAGATTGACATCTGTAGGTTTCCCAGCAACCTTTATATAAGAAGTGAATGACCCTTGAACAAAGGTTAACTATTGGATAACAACTGCTCAAGTTTTTCCCAAGATGCTTATGTTAGGCTAACCCTCAGACCTCATCTGCCCTTACCTCACTACCATTAGGCCAACAGATTTAGGTACTCATGTTTAAGTAAAGTAGAATAAAAAATAAAATGGAGCAAGAACAGGGCTCAGACATGACTCCTAAAGGCTGTGTGAGTGCATGGCCTTGTAAAGAAACCGAAAGCAATGCAGCCTCTGAGAACTGAACCATGACCTGTTCCAGATGCGTCTTTGCAAGGGTGGAAATTTGGCACTAACAGGTAAAGAGAATCTTAGGATTTTTTGTGACGATTTAAGGAGAAGATTTTATTGTTTATTCAGTGAGCCCTTAATAATAATTTTGGAGTAAACGTTCATTTTTTCTAAGGATGGAAATCTTAACACTTTTTAAAAAGACATTCAGAAATGAAAAGATGATCACAGACTTTTGCCCTGAGAAAAAGGATTTAAAAGTTCTATCAATTTAAGTATCATTAGTGAAGGCAGTTTGTGAACTGAGCTGCTCTTCAAAAAATAAAAATTATCAATCTGTATTTGTTAATATTATGGCATTGCAGTTTTTGCGATTATGATATTGCAGCTATAAAGAATACTTATCTTTTCAAGATATGTACTAAAATATTTATGGATGAAATGATATACTGAGATTTGCTTCAAAGTAATCCTAGGAGTGTTTGTGGGGAAGTGAGTAGGTTATAGATGAAATAAGACTAGCTATAAGTTGATAGTTGTTGACCCTGTGTATGGATGTGCATATATGTTTGAAATTTTTGTAGTAAAAAAATGGGGAAAACTGCCAACCCAAATCCAAGCAGTAATATATTTATCCTGATGTTCTTTTTCTGACGATGGAGCAACAATTACTTTTGCCAAACTCAGGAATATACTCTCAAACATCCACATCTGTGGATCACTCATTTCTTAATTTATCTAAATACCACTTCTTGGAAGCAATGAATGCTCTAAGTTTGTGATTGGTTGTGTAGGCCAAATTTAGCTTTAAAAATTGTCAGAAGGTGATCTTGCTTTGTAGCTTTTCAAAATTTCTTGAAATGCTTATTCACTCTTAAATATACCTTTCATAATTATGTAGCTTTCTGTCATAAAGCCTCTTTGATTTCAACTTTCCAGTTTGAAACATCTAAAAGTATTAAGATTTCTCTGCTGCAGAAGTATCTTCATGTCTTTGATGATTTCCAGTGGCCTTCTTTGAAACTTTCCCAGCTTAAATATCATTTTCCCTCTGAGGATTAGTGACCAAACCAGACATAGGTCATCATGTTTACAGGGACATTAGCAATGGTTAAAATGGAAATACAATATAGTCCCTGGAGAGAGAATTGCCTATGTTTCATATCCTACAAGGTTCAACATTTTATTTTCGTCCTTGTTGGTAGTAACGTTAGGCCGTCTTTCATCTATGGTATATCTTAGATGCTTTTTCTGTACCATAATAATTCAGAGTTCATTATCTTCTATGGAATATAATTTTTGTTATTTTTTTCTAGTGTTTTATCTGATGCTGGTTCTCTTTAAAACTTCTGCCCACTCACATGGCTTAATATTCTTCTATATATCTTGAGATTTCACAGTGCTTTCTTATTTGTACAGTCATAGATACCTGGCATTTAAACAATTCTGTCCCTAACATGTTCACTCACTGTGCATTTCTTTTTATAAAACCATGCAACTGAGCACACAGAATGTACACTAAGCATACTCAATCTATTCACTCTTCTATTCCTTATTACTTTCTAGTGAATTAACCATACCATTTCCCCCCTATTCCATGGAGTCATTTTTTAAAATTACTTTTACTTTTGATTCATTTTAAATTTTTTAAAGAATTTAAAAAATGCGAGGTTCTCCTCATTCCACCTTCCGTCCAGCACATATCCCAGTTCAGTAAGTGTGAGTTATGGTCAAATCCAATGACTTATTTTTTCCCCATTGTCCTGGAAATTTGTTTACTACCATCAAGGACTACAGAAAGCCTTCTTAAAGCATTCTAGGAAATTCTGTATTCAAATTACTCTTTAACAACCTTTTTAGTGCCCACGGCTTAAGAGGTGCAGTGCTTAGCTCTTTGCAGTAACAGCTGTGTAGACTCAGTCCCTGTGATCAGAGTGCACAACCCAGTGGGGCAGACAGACATAGAAATAGATCATTATAATACACAGTGTCTAAAATTGTTTTTAGAACAGAATTTGCTGCAATACTTATGATAAAAACTTCCTATGTTTATTCTATAACAAAAGCATAAAGCTTCTGTTATTATATAATAATAAGCATATGCTTAAAATGGAAACTTCTTTTAATTAATTTTAAACAAAAATTTAAATGTACTTTTACTATATGGTTTGGGTAGATTATGGCACTCCCCTTATGACTACAAACCAGGCGACAAAGAGTCAGTGGCTAGTGACAACTGCTTCATGTAAATATCCTGGACTGAACAGACCCCTTCAGTCTTTCCTAACTTCACCGAGGGATGTGCCAGCCATCCAAATAGCCGAGGCCAAGCTGGCTCTGAGTTTCAGTTTCACTGGGACTATCTAGCCTCTTCTGTGGTAACATAATATGTCTACAGCCCACATACTCTCTTTCCCTTTGTGTGTTAGTCATAGAATCTGGTCACATCCAAGCTCCTCATTTTATAGACAAGGAAACTATGGTGTCACTAAGCTACTTGCCCCAGGTCACACAAACAGCTGGTAGGATTAGAACTTAATTCAAGATAAGGAAAAGATATGCCTGGTATTCATTAGTGAAAACTTGAGGTAAACATTGGCAATGTAAAATGGCAGCAAATGTTAATAGGGTAGTGCATAGGAAAGAATTATAGTCATAAAAATGCTTTTTCTTTGACTTGTTACATGAAGACAATAACCCCAGTATCTTTTTTTCCTTCCATGTACTAGCAGAAGGTAGAACTTTAAAAATATGGATGAAAAAAGATAGAAAACAGGATCCATCACCATTTTTCAGCAAGACAGAGCTCAGTATGTTAATACTCTGTAACGTGATCCCCAGCTCACTTAATCCCTGGAGTCCTATCATAGTTCAGTCACTGCTCTTGATTCCCTCATAGACTGTGTGCCTTTTTCAACTTTACAGGCCAGCAAAAAATACCAGGCACATGTTTGGTTTTTCCTTTCATCTTGCCAACTACCCTTTCCTCTGCCTTTTAGGGTGAAAAATCTTAGCTGTACTTAAATTGACTGCTGACGTCTTTTGATTTAGAAATGACCTCTAGAAAAATCACCTATATAAATAAGAGGACCGTGATTTTGTGCTGAAGCCAATTCTAAACTTAGAGCCTTGCAGAATGAAAACATGAGCTGGCTACCAGCTGACCCTAATGCACATTTTTTTTTTTTTTTTTTTTTTTTGTTTGGAGTTTTCTTCAGTTCACAAGCACGGTCTTCTTATGTATATAGTTGATTCCCGGA